AATATATTTTTATTATTTAATTTATGGACTAAATCATAGTATAGTTGTATACTTATATTGATGAGTAGTAGAAATAATATTTTTTTGAAAAAAATGGGCTAACCCGGTCCGATCCATGGGCTAGCAAAAGGTGGGCTGGGTTGAACATTTTGTAGCCCATATAAAATATGAGCTGACCCGGCTTGCTCATATTTTTTCAATCCATAAGGGTTAGGGCCGGGTTGAACCGGGCCGGCCCATATTGACAGGTCTAGTTGGGACGTGATGAAACCCATTGCCATCCCTATAGCCTGCAACGAAAGGCAACAGTAGGGCTTCAAGCTTAAGCCTTTGATCACAAAGCATTCTACACCCAACCCCTGCACTCGTCCGATTAGGCCTCAACTTCAAAAAGTTGGGATTGCCCAACCATACACCAGCGCGCATCCTCATAAAAATGGTAATGGAATGGAGAAAAGGTTAGGGAACTAAGCATCATGTGCGTTTAGCATGGAATATATATTGCATGCCATCCATGGAAGAGAGCAGTACATGACATACTGTTCTTATATCCTCCAAAGACCAAAGGGTATCTACACCATTCTTCTATCTATCTAGCGCAGCCCCTGAAAGGATCATTTCAGAATCTCCCTTCGATTTATTTCAGGCTTCCATAGGAATCCTTTGTTCTGGACCCGAGTTTGTATCACCTGCAATCACCCACATCTACAAATACATCAAACATCTACTTCACCTCTTATGAACATAGATAGCTGTCCTCCAATATCATAGAAGTTATTTACAGAATAACCACCCAACCATAGGAATTACTCAGGGCGGAAGTTCACCAGATTAGGGAGGTTAGCTGAAGCCCCCAAGGTAGCGTTGTTACCTCATTTAATTTCATTAGCAGATTAAAATTTGCTATACAAGGTCCAGATGCTAAATTAAATCTTGTCTTCTGATGTGTTGTTTTCTCAGCCTACAATAAATCCAATCTCAGCTGCTACTGGTGCTGGAATTGCAGACAGAGGTGCCTCCGTGGTTACTATTGCTGCAATGGTTCGTTAGACATGATTGTTCTTTTTTTTTTTTTAATTTTTTTCATCATCAACATAAAAATTATGATCACAGCAGCACTTCAACGTCATTTTGCATTACGGTTACGTTATCATTGTTTCTCCTTTCACTAGTGGAGCCTGGGTGCATGACTTTGTGATTTGTGCATTATGCTTTTTTCAGAATGGGGATGCCTGGAGTTTGGGGCATGTTAAACCCAGAATATGGGAAGAATCCAGTGATGAATCAAAGAGTTGGAAGTTCACTGAAATCAGTGAACCATCTCAGTGTCGAACCTTGAGGCTTCCTGAAAACTCGAGGGTAACCAAGGTATAGAAATTTTCACATTACCTTTGTGCTTCATAGATTTTCTAACATGCTGGTAGGTTGACTAGTTGATTATATTTGTTGTCCTGCCGAACCATTGGCTTGGTTTTTTTTTTTTGCATGTTTTGGCTGTTTCACTTACACTTTTCTTTGGCCAATTTGATGGTTTTCATGATTCTGATTTAGCTACTTTGCTCTCTCATGCGTCCCGTGGATTGCATTATAAATAAAGAAACGTAAGCAATACCTTGTAATTCACAGGTGCAATATCAATTGGTTCTCAATTATGGATTTTTGTTAAGTGCTATCCTCAGAAAAATGCCTATAATATTTATAACTTGATATTTTTGTGTATATTATTTACTTGTTACCATTTTAAAACTACCCTGCATGTATAGAAAAACTCTCCAAGTCTTCTCTCTTGTATCTTTGGTTGGATTTAAGAAATCTGACTATTTTAAGATATCATTGCTTTGCTGAGGAGTGTCATGCTCTGAATTGTGTCTCTAGTAGGATCCTGGTTTACACTTATGTTGGTCACTAAGAAAAAGAGTAGAGATTGAAATGAACTGCACTTTTGAGAGGAGGAGCAAATCATGCAGCCAAATGTATTAGCGCGATTACATCTATCTTGATGAAATGGACACAACATTGTGGTTCTTACTATCTTTAATCCTGTATTATTAAGGAGTGGATGAATGGAGAACTGACTAAGAAGTAGTACTTGAGTGGTTAAATGATCTATTAAGATATTGAGAAGTTAAGTGTAAATTTGCATTACCTAAATGCTACATAACATCACTTAGTCCTAGAAGATGTATAAGTAGATGTAGACTAAATGGTTTTAAAATGATTATTCTGTAACTGGAAAGTTGCTGATTTAAAGTTCTGGTCTATACCTTCTTTGATGGTAACATGACAATGAGATTAACTGGTTCTAAAAGATTATTTAATTTGAAGTCAAATTATTTAATAAATGCCCATGATATTTGCATAAAATGCACTGTCTGTAAGTGTTCAGAAATCATACACTGTTGTTCACCTGTTTCTTTTTTTGTAGTGTACCTTATCCCTACCAAAATTTCCCTTAATGTAACTAGCCTTTTTTGTGATAATGCTTTATGACTTGAATGTATTTTTGGCCATTCACTCTGATGATGACAAATTCGACTCCTGAAATTGAACTCCATCTGATCCATCTCCTTTATTTGGGCCCCATCTTATCAGCTTTTCCTGTGATTATTTCAGATATCAAGGTTAATCTTCACAAATTCGGGTAATGCTATTTTGGCATTAGCATCAAATGCTATTCACTTGCTTTGGAAGTGGCAGGGAAGTGATCTTAATTCAAATGGGAAGGTAGGAGCAAGGATATCAACATAGTTTCTATTCATCATTGTGAACTTTTTGTCATACAAGAATATTTTAAAATGACTTGTACTGTAATTTTTACTGTAATACTTATATTGTTGCTTCAACCTGTAGGCAACTGCTAGTGTACCGCCTCAGTTGTGGCAACCTTCAAGTGGCATTCTGATGAAAAATGATGTTGCTGGCACAAATCATGCAGATGCTGTACCCTGTTTTGCTTTATCGAAGAATGATTTTTATGTAATTTCAGCATCTGGGGGAAAGATATCCTTGTTTAATTTGTTGACATTTACGGTAACTCATGACTGCTGGAATGCGTTTCCTTATTTTATTTTTTCTTTACATTCCTTTACATTTATTGTTGGGGCAGGGAAGATCTTCCTCTTCCTCTTCCCTTCTCCCTGCATTTGTCAATTATTTGAGTAAGCATATCATACTTTTATTGACACATGCAGACAATAGTAACTTTCATGCCACCACCACCAGCTGCTACTTGTCTTGCATTCCACCCACAAGATAATAATATTATGGCTATAGGCATGGACAATTCAACAATTGTGATATATAATGTCCGTGTGAATGAGGTATGATGCGTGTTGTGGACAATTAATTCTCATTTAGAGACGTAGTACTTGTTGTTTAGTTACCATTTTCATCATCCAGGTGATAGGTAATCTTAGAGGCCACTCCAAAAGAATAACTGGCCTTGCCTTCTCTCATCTACTGAATGTGCTTGTCTCATCAGGAGCGGATTCTCAGGTACTCATTTTTTATTTTATGTGCATGCTTTAATGAATTAGCTTCCTCTGAGTTTTATTGCTGTGACAGATTTCATACATGGCTAGATTATGTGATTTGTTTCTTTCAATAAAGTTTCTTAGTGTTGCCTTAGTTTGACCTGCTC